ATCTCCGCCAGTTAGTCACCTAGTAAGCACGATGATCTGTTACATTTGGTTTGAACTTAAAGCTTTGATAGGCGCAATCCGCTGCTTATTTCTCGCAACTACATCACACGTGGGTGTTGTTTAGCGGTGGCGGTCTGGAAGAGATGTTTTGCCTTTCTTAGGTTCACCGGCCCAGCCTCATCGATGTAAATTTATTCACTACAATCCCCAACGAAGTATTTCTTACAGCCAGGTCAACAGCTCTTTAAGGCCTTCTTTCATGTAAGTGAACAGATCAGCTCCTGAGTTGTCATTGTAATTCGGTTTCTCCTGCACAGTACCTTGGCCCACGGGGCGTCAAAAGCTCAGGCGAGGTATGCACTAGAAAACATTTAATTCTTGTTACTGTAACTGAATAGAAAATATGAAATTTAAGCGTGACTAGAGACTTCAAAGTGTGACTACTCTGCTCGAAATTTGCCTTAAATTTCGCGAAAATACCGATTATGAATGCTGCCTTATGAGAGCAAAACTACATCGCGCGGTTCACAACCGGTTGGTGCTTTGATCATTAAATAAAAAGGAAGAAATAAGCAAAGCAGACTTAAATAAGAACGCTTTTTTGTTGTAGTTGACATAAGTCGCTTAAAGATTGAAAAGAGTAGTGAAGCGTGAGTGCGTCACAGCTCAGCGGCCAGGTTACTGAGTATGATAGAAAGTGGAGGCCTCCATAGTCGAATATTTAAGTACATTTCGGCAGGATGCAGATTCGTTTTACGACCATGATGCAATGCAATCAGAGTGTGCACACCGTCTGGTTTGAAGACAATTTTCGAAAGCTTAGGTTACTCTTAAGAATCTCAAAACGTACTTAGTGTCATAATATCATATATATCTTTAGTAGCGGAGAAAACTACGAAAGGGTCTCAAGCATAATTCTCCGTAAACAAATTGACCGAATTCAATCGGTATATGTAGTGTTGGTAGATCTTAGAAATTCTGATTTTATTTGAGTATTGAGTTTTATTATTCCTTTTATTTGAAAACCCTATATAAAATCCTTTATCGAATTAAATATGATGTAGGCCATTCTGTCATAAGCTGAAGCAGTTAAATGAATTCCGTCACCGCAGAGCATTTGATCTCGAGAAAAATGCATATCCTTATCAATGTCAGCCAGAAGCACCTTTCCCTTTGAATTTTTGACGAAATTCCGAATCATTTCGTTCACTTTCAGTCTCACTTCCATAATCACGCTGATCATTCGCTTCCTGCTCACCTCACATTGTAACGCAGGAATCGTTACAGCAACAGTTTTCGCTCCAGCCACGTGAGCGACCTTGTGCAGCTGAACTAGGGCATTGAAAATGGTAATTTGATCTTGTTCCTTGCCAATGTTATTGTCTGTCCAGATACTCTTCATTCCAAACAAGTCATTTGTCCCTCCCAAAATGATAACCCAGTTGTATTTAGCAGCCTGCAATAAATTTTCAAGTCGAGGGAGCATCTCGTTTTGAACTTGCTCGCCTGATCGTCCGGCATTGTAGAGTTCAACATGATTCGACCTTGAATGACTCCTGAGTTTACTTCGAAAATACTCTTGTAATCTTACCGTGTATGGATGCGGCTCTCCGTTTGTGAGACCGAAAGTCAGTGAATCACCGAAACACAAGATTCGTATTAATTTCCCTCGTTTAGCATTTCTTGAAACGAGTACGTACAGAGTAGTTAGTGGTGATAACAGAAGAACACAAAATCCAAGTGAAGCCCATTGAAAGTTTGCCATACCAAACATCTTGAGATGAAATTGTTCACCTTCTTCAAAGTAATTTGGTTACATATTAGTTGTATATTCCTAAGCTCTCCACTCCAGATTTTTAAGGAACCCTTCTATAAAATTTTTATCGTTTCATTTTTCAGACTTTGGAAACCTTCCGGCAAAAACACGTCATCAAAGCTAATCAGTTCTTTTCAGTTTTATCGGCGATACCTGCGATAACAACTGGTTTCGTGGTAAAACATTTTCCTTTTATGTCGAGAAAAAAAATGTTTAGTCTTGTTGTTCGTCTGTATATGGCCTTATAGTCGGACCATCCACCATCCTGACGTTTACGTACTCGGAACTCTGTGAAGGATTGGGAGTAACTTGGTTCTGAAGGCAATCTCCACGAAACATTTTCAAATCCTCTTGACTTATATAGTATTCGCTTGGGAATTCATCCATTTCCATATTACTTTGGGCTCAAAGTCGCATTTTTGAATGAAGAAAATGCACAAGAACTAGTTCACAATGGAAACATGAATTATATATCGCGCATCTAGCTTCTTGCCCAGATCTCACCTCTTGGTATGACCTTCAGAATCTCAATACTGTCTTCACTAAGCTTACTCAGGCTATGGAATACATTAAAAAATTTGTATATATATATATATAATGAGGAATTAATGTTGACATAAGAAACAGCTTACCACAGTGTATGTACTACCAAATTATTCACTAACCAAAGGCGTGATTTCCGTGATTATCAATAAAGGGCAAAATTACTGAGCGCTGATTGGTTGAGAGAGAGGGCATTTTTTCTTAATCGAAGGCATTTTTAGTAATCAAGAGAGGGCATGATTACCTGTTAATGATTGGCTAATCCGTTGCATAGCAACCGTTCGTTATCTTGAAATTTGTTAAAAATAGACTGCGCGCGTGATTTTCCTTCGTATAAATTTTGCCCTTTATTGATAAACAAGTAATCCCATGAGACCTCGTACTATTAAGGATTAATTGCACTTGAGTTTTCAAAATTTTGGAAAATTTTGAAAACTCTCGTGCAATTAATCCTTAATAGTACTTGGCCTCATGTGATTACTTATACATACCGCCTACACTGACTTAGCGATTCTATCGTGTTTTTTTTCCCACTTATATAGCGCCTTTTAACATTAAAATGATCAAAAGCGCTTTACATGAATTTAGAAATATATATAAAAATACAGTAACTATGATGAATTATAAGAAATATCTATGAAACCTAATACTAAAAATACACAATTGACCACCCCCAAGAAAAATTACTCGTTGTATGCTAAATTAAAATGATGTGTCGTAAGTTTTTTTCTTAAAAATGTTGAGTGATGTTATTTCCCGAATAGTTGCTGGAAGGCTGTTCCACAGTGTGGGGGCAGAAATATAAAGTGAACGTGCTCTTAATGTAGATGGCATGCGCTCCTTGGGACGGTCCAAAAATAATGAAGAATTCGATCTAAGGGAATAAACAGAACACGACTTAATGGACACTAAGGGCTACTTATTGAAACGAGATCTAACCCAAACCGTGGTTTCCGCAAGCAGTGGGCCTCGGTGATTCTCTTTAAGAGGGTTGATTTCATTTAAATAGATGTCCGTCTACTTTTAGGTATCGGCCTGTTGACACTGTTCACAAAAAATTGATTCTTAGATAAAGGGTTCGGCTAAATTGAAAAAGGCGTAGAACGCGGTTTTATTAAACGATGGCTAAACTTTGATTAAATAACTCTAAGTTACTAATGTAGTTTGGTGACATATCATATATAGCCTTAAATGTAATAATTAAAATTTTTTAATAAATGCGGTAAAACTCAGGTAGCAAGTGAAGGTTTTATAAAGCTGGTGTGATATGATCATACATTCTAGTGTTCGTTATTAATCTGGCTGCAGCATTCTGTACACGTTGTAGTTTACGTATATGATATTTGAGAAGGCCATAAAGTAGGCTATTACAATAATCGAGTCCGGACGTAACGAAAGCATGAACTAATGTTTTAGGGGATTCCTGTGAAAGGAAAAAAAGAAAGAAAACTTGATTTATATGAGTATCTATACTAATTGAATTGTCAAATATCCTTCCCAAATTCCTAACTTTGACCGAAGGATCAATCGTATGATGACCTAAATGAAGCACTGGTGGATTTAATTTATTTAACCGCTGGCGAGCTCCAATAACTAGAAATTCAATTTGATCATCATCGAGTAACAGCCGTCCTTCAATAAGCCAATTCCTTATATCTTTAATGCAATCCTCCATTGCGCGAATGGTCTCATCCTGGGCGTTGGCATCATCGGGCTTGAAACTCACGTATAGCTGGGTACCACGTTTTCTCTCCCAAACAGTCTCTTAATGGCCGAGAACAGTTTCCTCTGATCAGTGCTGTTATCTACAAAATCTTTGAAAAACAATTTACGTGCTTCATTTATCAGATTGTTAGTTTTGTTCTTAATAGCTTTGTATACAAGGAAATCTGCCTTCAAACCAGTGCGCCGCCATCTCCTCTCCGCTCTGCGCCTCTAGCCTCCTTAATATCATCGTTCAACCAAGGCACTAGGGGCCCAGCTGGGATGGTCTTTGTAATGAGTGGCGCACGCCGGTTTAGGTCAGACGCAAGAGTGGAATTATAGCACGACACAAGATCATTCAGTGTGTCCGGGGTATTTGTACATAAATTCGATGATGAAATTTCATTAGATAGCACATCCAAATTCACGCCTTTATTCCTCCTAAAGGTCACTGTTTTCTTTGTTACCCTAGGCTTGTCAAGGTTTAACCGGCATATAACAGACCAGCGATCGGAAATGTGGTAGTCCGATACGGGAGTTTCCCTGACCAAGTCCCCGAACTGTCGTGTTATGATTACGTCCAATGTGTTGCCTGACTCGTGCGTTGGTGTTATAACACGCTGTTGTAAACCCATTGTCTCCAGCAAATCAAGAAGTTTCAATCAGTCAATTTTCTTAGTTCTCCTCCCGTTACATTTCCCTGACTGTGATTGTGGGTAACCGTTTTCTGCCAGATGGATGTTTAAGTCTTAGCAGAATGAAGCCGTTCTCTGTAATACGGAAATCCACTTCTGTCGGTTAATTTAGAGGCTGCCTGAAATGCTCCACTTATCTGTCACTGATTTTCTCTGAAAATGTTATTAACTCAACTTCTTTTGATCTTACAGGGAGTGGAGTTTTGATTGTGGGACTATAAACTGCATTTAAGGCGGCGTAGAGATGAATTGATCCTTAGTTGATTTAGATCCGCAGTATCATGAGTCTGTCATCGATGGGTTTTGGGCAAGAGATTATAATCTCTTGGTTTTGGGTGAGTGCCTTAGGCAGCTAATTTGTTAGTAATATCAAAACCCACTCCAGCCTTTCTTTGTTGACTACCACTCCGAAAGATTGAGTATGACTTCTTTCACCAATGTTCACAGAACATGGACTGCGCAATTCGCTGAGTGCACAAATGTCAATCCGTGGTTTTTCTCATTCCCTGCAGATGATGGCCGCTGAACGCTTAGGCTTTGCTGAGTCAGCGCTGTCATTCGTTGTTCTCACATTACAGGCTTTATGCTGATGCACAGACTTTCCGGGTCACGCTAAGGGGGATATGGTCTTTGCATATTTCTCGTCACTACGATACGTTTTGGCGAATCGGTTTCCCCGAAAACTTCATCTCTTTGGTTCCTATCAGTCGCTATTCAAATGTGAGGCTACATCTGAGAGACGACGCTAAATATAAAGCGTCCCTTGGTAAGATTTACGGCGGCACAGCAGCAGAAAAATCATGTTGCATGTTAGTCAACTAAAATCAATCAAGCAAAAGGTAAGGGCTTTCTGTAGATTAGAGAGGCTGCTCGAATATGGATACATATTTTTATTACATAGTTAAATCGTGAAACTGAATACAGTATTTATCTTAACGCGTATACGTAATTAAAAACAGATGTTTAGTTGTACTTTGAAGGTTGCACGGCAACTTGGCTTAAGTTGAAATCTTTATTAAAAATGATTTTCCAAGCCTTTTGATATATGAAATCAAGGGGCCAGCCTTTTTCGCCTTCTTTGGGTGCGCGAAGAATTAACAAAAAAAGTCCTCTCTGTTCGGTTTTTCAGAACAGTCAAGAGAGTGAAAACTGTGATCTCTTGGAACAGTTCAGTAGTGTGTTTTTTTAATCAGTAGCATGATGGAGAACTATCTCGTGTTATTTACTGATCACAAAGAAAATAAACAATTGTTTGGTTTTTAGGGACGCTTTGACAATCAAGAGTGTTGCGAAGAAACATACCCTGATTACTTTGATTGGATAACCTCACCTTTTTCTTATTTGTTGTAATGATAGGTTTTTGCGTGCTAACTAGACTTTTGCGGGAAACGTGACAATAACGGAGGGAAATAACTCGGTAGAGACCACTTGCAGCGGGAACGGAAACTCGTCACGGTTTCCTGATACACGGAGACCTGCTTCGAGCGAGCTTGCTACGAACGTCAAGGATTAGACAACGTTTGGTTCCACAATAACTTTATTCTAGCTTATGTCGACAACCGAGATGACCTCTAGTGTACTCAACTTCGTAAGCAATGTAATCGAAAAAGCTTTACAATATATTTCCATAAATACTATCGAGCGCGTGGTTCTACTGTTCTCTAAATTTACGCTACTTGAACAGTATAACAAAAGAAGCGGAAAATGTCTCTTTATAGTTAAGCGATTTCATTTAAATATTCCATCTGTTCAGAAAGAATTTCAAAACTAAGAGACGGATGTAATCACAGGCGGCCCAAGCTCCAGCTGTGAGATGATCATCTTGCGCAATAACAGTCATTGCGGAATTATAAGAGTTTGTATGAGAATATTTACGACTGCTCCAAGGAATAAAAAAAAAACGTCAAATTCTCAATAAAAATACCACACCTTACTTCCACAGCTTATCGCTTGTTATCTGACCACATACTTTGATGAAAAGAACCCATTTTAGCGAGTTTTCAATTTCGAGGTTTTCTACGTACTTAAAAAAAAGCCCTTACGCTGTGTAAATAACACGAGATAGTTCTCCATCGTGCCACTGATTGAAAAAATAACAACACTACTGAACTGTTCCAAGAGATCGCAGTTTTTACTCTCTTGACTATTCTGAAAAGCCGAACAGAAAGGACATTTTCTGTTCTTCGCGCACCCAAAGAAGGCGAAAAGGCTGGCCTCCTGATTTCATTTATCAAAAGGCTTGGAAAATCATTTTTAATAAAGATTTCAACTTAAGCCAAGTTGCCGTGCAACCTTCAAAGTACAACTAAACATTTGTTTTTAATTACGCGTTAAGATAAATACTGTATTCAGTTTCACGATTTAACTTTGAACTCCGATCAAACCGCGGGCCTCGTTTTTAGGATTGCTCGAAATAGTTTCGTTATATCTTAACACCATGCAGTTGTTTGATGATGATTAAGCACTATGTGTGTTCCCTTGTAAATGGTGTAACAAAAATTTCTCTTTTTAGCAAATATTTTCTAAGTAAAAAAAAAAAAAAACTACTGCACCGTAAACCTACCGCCCTGCATCCATATTCGAGCAGCCTCTCTAATCTACAGAAAGCCCTTACCTTTTAGTTGATTGATTTTAGTTGACTAACATACAACAAGATTTTCTACGGCCGTCTCAGCTAAGCTGTGCCGCCGAACAACAGTAAATCTTGCCTAGGGACGCTATATATGTAGCGTCATCTCTCAGATGCAGCCTCACATTTGAATAGGGACTGAGATGAGAACCAAAGAAATAAAGTTTTCAGGGAAACCGATACGCCAAAACGTACTGCAGTGGCGAGAAATATACAAAGATCATATCCCTGTGCATCAGCAAGATGATCATCTCACAGCTGGAGCTTGGGCCGGCTGTGGGTAGAGCAGCTTAGGAAATAATAGTGAGACTGAAGTAATTATAATTTTCCCGTAACATTGTGCACGAAAACAATATCCTGTCTTTATCTAATATTTCAACTCTACTCATCACTTACTGAATTCCAAATAACATCAGTCGCGAAACTCTTGAAGTTAATTGTTTATCGAATCCTAAAAAAAGAAAAAACAACAACAACACATGGACAAAAATTAACGTCAAGTTACACTGATTTATATCATTATGCTATCACCTTTTGAAACAACCTCGCACTTTCGTCCCATTTCACTATTCATTCACGTCAAACATGTTCTTTCATTGCGTTATAAATAATTTCTGCCATCTTTTCATAACCCTGTTTTGTAAAATGAAGCGGATCACGCCACAATTTACGGTCACGAGGAAGATAAACATGTTTAGATAAATCAGCAAGAAGCATTTTCTCCTTGCTCTTGGCTGCGAAATCGCGAAGAAGTTGGTTTATCTTTTTATGGGTGTGTTTCAGCTTAGTACATGTTCCCAATCCTTCACATTCTCTATCCGGAATGGAAACTGCCACAGATCTCGCACCAAACATGTGTGTAACATTGTGAAGCGTTACTATCGCATTAAATATGGATCTTGAATTGTATGAAAGATTGCCTTCTCCGAATGTACGCACGGAATTCAAGTCGTTAGTCCCAGCAAGAATGATCACCCAGCTGTATTTTATTCTTGGATATTGCAATATTTGAGTCAAATGTGGCAACATTTGACCTTTTGCTCTGGCACCAGGCATTCCCGCGTTGTGAACTTGGAAGAAAGATCGCTTTGACACATCCAGTACTGTGTGATTGTGCAAATCAAAATATTCTTGTAATTTGATGGAATAAGGGTAGCTTTCAGATGTTTTTACGTTCACGAGGCCTGTCGTTAAGGAATCACCAAAACAAAGAATTCGTATAACCTTGCATGTGTATAATTCAGTCCTGGGTAATCGATCGTAGTAAGCAGACTTCGTGGTGTAAAAACTCATTATCACGAAGGCGGGGATTAAGAAGAAGAAATTCCTGAGTTTCTCGAGCATCCTTCCGTAAGATAGAAGCTAGTTGCCGAACTATTTCGAAAAAAGATTTGAATTCAACTAAGATAGGTTAGATGTCAGGTGAATCGGGTAATTTAAAAAGGTACTGTCTGTGTGTATTGTGTTACCGTTCCGACAAGCTAGGGGCAAGTGTGAGTAGCTTTAAGAGTTTGAGTATTTTGATTTAAACCTGTGCTTCGATGCAAACAGCGGTCAGTTTTCAGAGACAGAATCAATTAAGTCAGTTACAACTGACCAATGGGCAAAGCTGAAAAACTTGAAGGCGATTTACAAGTTGTCTGAATCCAGCCAATCAAATACTGGATAAAAATTAATGACTAAATCTTGTTCGTAAACCGTTGCTTTTAGTTACCTCTGCAATTGCAAGCTGGCGGATAGTTGGGAGCGCATATTACAATAGTTCGATAATATCGAAGAAAAAAACCCGTAAAATTGAGGTATTTGAATTATTCTTGTTTGAAAAGTTTTTTTAACGCAAAATGTAGTAACTTTTCTAAAGCATAATGTATAACGCAAAATTTGATACCTTTCTAACGCAAAATGTAATGACACAAAGAGTAATTTTTTTAACGCATAATGTGCAAATGCAAATTCTAGTAATACAAAATTTAAAAACTTTTCTAACGCATACTTCAAGAACGCAAAATGTAGTAACTTTTTAACGCAAAATGTAGTGCTTTCCAAACGCATTACGTAATAACGCAAAATGTGATACAAGTTTATTAGTAAAGTCAAAGTACTAGACTAGATTTCTGTAATAACAATGCGAGGGATGAAGGGCTACCACTGAAAAATGAGAATTTTTCCTGAGAGGGGTGGGGTGAACCTCTCTTGTTCTGGTAAATTGACAAAAGGTGGGAAAAGTCATGTCGTCTTCTTTGCAGGGTTATTTGGTAATAAAGTATTAATTTCCCATTCCAGCTACTCCAATCAATAACAAAGTTATACTAATGCATTGCTATGCAGTTTGTTTCAGGGTGGACGGAGAGGGCTGATGTGACGTGGAAAATAAAAGAAGCAGTTCCGTGCAAACGATAAAAGATAACCCATTTGTCTTCCTCCAAAGTGTGAACGCAACTTCAACCTTCATTCGTTGACTCTCGTATAATCCCATGGTGAATAGTCCAACAAAATTTTAAAGAACTCTTTCTCCCTATGAAACTTCTAATCTCGGCTCCGCGCAAAGGTCCAACATCTTCCTCATGGCATTTTCTTCCAGACTAATTAAAAAGGGTATGATAGGAGTATGCAAATATAAAAACATTTTATGGTTTCAGCGAATTTCTGGCACAGCCAACATATTTTACAAATTTTCGTAAATTCTTCCAAACAACAGAACAATCAAGGAAAAGTTCAAATCGAGGCTAGGCGGCTAACATGGCGTTACACTAATCCAGCAAAATCTCACATTTATTACAAACGGTGATTTAATAAGCTTTCCAAAATATATTTCCTCTCTCAAAGCCGTTATTGTGCCATTTGCAATTTATAAATAATAAGGTAAACTAAGCGTTTTTCTCAATAAATTACCTCTAAACAATCTAGTACCTTGTTTCAATCCAAAATATTATGACATGTCAAACTAGAGTAAATTCTGTAAAATACAATAGAGTAGGATCTCCCTCAAATGATAGTCAATTTAACCAATCATATAATTTAAATTCGATATATTTTTAATAAAATAATTAAATTATCCGACTTAGTAACTTGAAGTGGGTAATCACCGACCTCCCCTCATTATAATCGTAATAATCATCGTAAAGCAACTTATCATTTCAATTCAATCTTTTATCGCAAAGGAACTGATTAAACAGGCTATCCTACAATGCATCTAATCACGTAAAAACTCCTTCTGACACAAAGAACTCTGAACTACCAACGGGCGGTCTAAGGTCTTCTTTTTCTAAAAAGTGGAGGGGCAATTTAACGAGATACCCTCTGACGCCTCGCAGACGAGCACGTGCCTGTCCAGGGTCCTCTTTGTCGAGGTTTTTAAGACTCTAGAAAGAATATTGATGCAAACAAAAGAATTATGATAAACATATGTCAAAATCTGAAGAAAGGACAAGAACTTGTAAAAACTGTAAATTCGCTTCTTCATTCTATGTGTCATACTGCGGTTTCACCACATTCATTAGCACTCTTAAAATTTCTGTACCAAAGAAAAACGAAAAATGTAACTGCAAACCACTCATCGAGGGTTCTCAGTGACTTTAAAAGAGAGTGGATCAGACCTAACAGGTATAGTCCTTCGTTTAATTTGACGTGATAACATTAGACTGTGCACGAGGCTTTGCGAAAGCGGAAATCCCATTTTAAGCATCTGAGGTTAGCTCCTTTGCGCTGGCTTGAACACTAACGGACTTCCTCATTTCAACATGCTTTAACAGTCAAACTACTCGGTCTCATAACAGTTTCTCACCTTATAAGCAGCCATGTCGCTTAGTGAACGAACTTGGTCTGTTGGCATGCAGTGAAACACCTTAAAGAAAAAGGGTAGTAATGTTTATTATCACAGCGTATGGCTGTTAACAAGGTCACCGTACCTAGAAAAAAGGAAAACTTTTGAGATGTACAGTTGATGAGATGGTTCATTTATTGAAAACAACAGACTAGCTATTATGGGATGGTTTCGTCTTTCCGCATTGATCTCAGGTTCCATACAGTGAGTTGCCTGTCGAAGTTAATTTCAGTTCTCGTGTGGTATGGTGTCCCGTGTTCTGGATTTTTGATGGGAGGAGATCCAGCTAAGTACCAGGAAACACCAATCCTCCTTGAATTATTACTCACATGTGAGCGAGTCTAGGGCAAAGCTGACAATTTTAAGAACGATTTTGTTGTTTACGCACAGCACGTTCAACCGCAAGGGAGCTCCGAAGAAACCTTTCTAAAATAATTTTCAGCCTTCTCGCGAAAATGCACCGTCGAAAAATTTTGCTGCTTCCATCGTACCTCCTCGTAAATTTCAGTGTTTTTCTTCGCCGTGGCCATCCACACATCCTAAAATTGAAAAATGTTTACAATCAAAAACAAAGACAGACACAAAAACATCATGAATAACCTGATTAACATTACTAGTTATTGATTATATAATTTCACTGCATAGAAACTGGATTTTCAGTATCCATATCAACCAAGGCTCACCTCATAGAAACTTTTTGAGACAACATCTCTGATGTCTACGTCTGAAGGAGAATCTAATAAACCCAGATGTTCCCTAAAAAATTGTAAAACGAATGACTAAAAAATCATCGTAACTGTAACTAACTCATCTCACGAAAAGAAACGAAAAAAGAAAATAAAGAAAAACACTCATTGCACCTTTCCTCGTGTAGAATACAGTACATCACGAGTCTCTAGGAAGGTACTAAGTCTTTGAGTGCGGTTTTACTGTTCATAGGAAGTGCATACTAGGTTGTGATAGTAAAAGATGTTTTTCGAAGTTCCGTTCACATAAGCAATAAGTCAAACAGTAAGTAATCATTTTAGTTTAATGATAGCGATGTGTATTTTGACCGTCCACGTAATAGGAGTCATGAAATGGACCGTTGTCAATAACGACGACTGACGCCTCGACAAAATAAGGGGAAGTCATCATGAGATTGAAAAATCGAAAATAGATCAAACTTCAACCTGTTACTTAAAGTTGTTCAGATTCTCTGCTCTCTTCCAGGATATAGATATTTATCAGGATCACTCTCCTACCTGAAGAGTCTTGATCTTAAGTTGAACGCAAACTTGCCAGCTTGATATTCCTTGCCATCCATAACGGACGGAACCTGATGAGCAAAGCATAAAAATGAATGACCATCGATATTTCAAACTTCCTCCATCATACTTACTCCCATAAAAGTAAGAAGAAGTGTTCTCACTGCTGTTAAATGATAATTTATCAGGGGATATGATTTGTTTTTTCCTTGTATATAGGATGTAGTCATTGAAAAACTACATTGGCCTACAAATTGTTCACCCTTCACACTTCACCTCCAGGATTGACCAGAAAGAAATTTCTCCTTATAATATCAACACACTTACAACCAGAAAGGCGACGTGAAGAAAGAAGAGCATTGGTCCCGAAGGACATTGTTTTGTCAAACAACAAAGTCTCAGCTCTAAGCTTATAAGCAATATCTGGGGAACAACGAGAAGACTTGATATTAAGGGAGAGGGTTCGCATTGGGACAATTTTTTTTATTCAATTCGGATGTTTGTCAGTCTTGCATATTCAGAAACAATAACTTTTTTTTTCGTTTCTTACGATCATTTTTGAGGTGATGTGGGTGAAATCCTTAAGACCCCCTAAAGCCAACTTTCAGTTAGAACATCCTGTAGTTGTTGGCTGAACGATTTCCTTGTCAGCAAATGTTCGATTTACCGAACCATATTTGCGAAGTGGAAATAAGACTTACAAATTCCTTGTCCTTCATGATAGAGGCTATTTCTGAATCTCTCTTTCCCAGCATGCTGCGGTCATTGATGTTTGCTACAAATAAAAAAGAGCGCAGTACTGTCAAAGATAAATACAGATGCATAAGGTACGAGAGGGCGACCAGAAAAAAGCCTCTGAACATGAGACGAACCGAGTTATGTTAATGGTAACCTTTAAGTCTGTTTTCGAAAAAAACCAACAGTGAAGCTGAAAAAAACGACAATAAAAAAAAAAAGACGTCTTTGACAGGGTTGTTTTCTTTCCTATAAAGATCCAGTTATTCCAAAGGCTTTTTCTATGGCTGGAGCATGACTTAGACACAAGCAAGGAATAAGTTGTTAAAAACGAAACACTTGGGATTTTAGAAAGTTAGGACGAGAACAGAACGTGATTCAAGTACTCGCGATATTTAACATAGAAAAAAAGGACTAATACTCAGATAGTCAACTTCAACTTTTCTTTGCAGTCGTAAGGTTACAACCACATATCACAACCGCGTTTTCATACCTGAGCCAATGATTACTGTATTGTCATCGACAATCATCATCTTGCTATGAACATATACAAGCTCTGTGACCTGCAAACAAAAAAATGGCTGACCAGTTAACAAGAGACTCGAAAGTAAAATGGGATTGTGCTCAACTGAATCAACAATGAATTCACTCACGGGTTTTCCACGAATTTCTGAGTGAGTTCTCAGACCATAAAATGTTATGAACTTGGAAGGATCACCAACTAAAGTGAAGGAAAGATGAAAACCATGAATACCAAAAGCAAAATATACACGTCACAACGGAGCACAAACAATACAGATTCTTGAGAGTATAAGCAAGCAACAACAAGTTTATACCAAGTTCTGTTAATCTCTGCAAGAGAGAATGCGATCCTCGACAAATTGACCTGTAGTTCCAGTGAGTAATGGCGCCAATCGATCGACCAGTGGCTGTACCAATCTCCCCTGACAAAGAGAAAAATATCAAAGGAAATATAAAACATGTCTTTGATATAGCAGAGAAATAAGAAAACATGTTTTCCTTTCAGTTTCGCAGTTGGCTGGATCTGGATAAAATGAAAAACGTTATTTTGAGAGAAAAAAAATGGCGTTAAATTTACAGCTGGGGGTTAAAATTTCCAACAAAAACCGGCAACTTACTGGCTAACTATGTTCTCATACACTCTTACCTTCAAAGGCTGGTAGGAGTGGCATGACGACTATAACTTTGAAATTTTCACCCTCTCTGTCGAAAACGGGAAAAATGTTATCAGTGATACTAACTGTCAAGAGATATTCTCAACCATGTTAATTCAATCCTTCTCTTTGAGAATGATAGCCAATAATGAGGGAAACATCCCAGCTTCTTTTAGGGCGTCAATGACTCACTTGCCACTGAATTTTTTTTTTCTTTGCATTACTCATACGACATTTCCGTGTCCATTTACGTGACCTCCGTATGCTGCTTCTGTTCGTTGTCGTGGTTTTTTCTTACATTTGTTCTTATGGACTTTGATCCCATTTGTGCTTATATAAACACTATTAAAATAGATCGATGGATCTGCCGTTATCAGTTGCCTATCACAGATTATGTGAAATCCTCAGAGGCATTTGGATTTCTCTCTTAATAAGATGGAGGTCGTATACGAAGCTTGACTAATTGGAAATGGAAATTTGACCAATTTTAAAAGAAAATATTCCACTGATTAGTGTCACATGATCTACAGCAGTACAACAAAACAACAGACGCATTTCGCTTGTTCTATCTCCAGGAAACAGATACCATAGGCAACAGTAAAGAAAATACAAGAAGAAAAGCAAAATAGAGCAGAACCACTTTATCATTGCTGCAGTATTTTTTTCTGCAAGTATGAAATTTACTATGGGTATCACCTGGAGGTATCCACCTGCATGTTACACTGCTTTTCATTAATCCTATAAAATTCAAATAGACTTGGAAGTGATAAAAGGAAATATACATCACACCTGTGTGCTCTCTCTATTCTCCACAAAAGGTTCTGTCCAATCTCATTCTTAACATTGTCAATGAAAAGAGAAGTGATAAAGAATTGGTTCTGCAAGAAAAAAGGAAAAAGAACAGTTATCTACTTCTACGTAAATTAGTCGATGGAATTGATGTTACATTAAGATAACATATTCTAATTGACCAGTAAACCAGTAGAAAACTCATCAAAAATTCTATTTGCCCGAAAACATTCCATGTGTAATCAAATGCTTTTTGATAGTGGGAAAAAACCAATAGACTTTTCAGATTTTTATATATAAATCTTCAGAATTATAGACTCTGAACAAACCTTGAAATTTACCTCTGATTTTTTTTTATTACCTCAATGTAAATGAAATGTTGAGATGCTTCAATCGCCTTTACGTATGCCTCATGAATGGAGTTTTCTGGAGGAACACCGCCTGACCACGAACAGAGGGAACGGAGTATCTAATAAACATCAATATTTGTTGGTACAAACACTTACATTTCTCCTTCACCAACTATACCTGTGCACCCGGCGGCACACACTTGGGCAATCAACTCACCGAAAAAACCGAGGCAGACTGATTGACTGACTGACATCCTGATTGACTGACTGACTGACTGACTGAAGACTGCTGACTGCCTGACAGACTGTCTGACTGAACTGATTGAATGGCCAAGTGACTGACTGACTGACTGATTGACTGACTGACTGAATGACTGACTGAATGACTGACTGACTGACTGAATGACTGACTGAATGACTGACTGAATGACTGGCTGAATAGCTGACTGACGGATTGACTGACTGACTGACTGACCAACTGACTAACAGATTGACTGCCTGACTGACTGACTGACAGATTGACTGCCTGACTGACTGACTGACCGACTGACTGACTGACTGACCGACTGACTGCCTGACCGAATGACTAACTGACTGACTGAATGACTGACTGAAGACTGAATGACTGACTGACCGACTGACCAACTGACTGACTGACTGAATGGTTGACTGACAGATTGACTGACTAACTGACTGACCGACTGAATGGTTGACTGTCTGAATAACCGACTAAAGACTGAATGACCGACTGACCAACTGACAGATTGACTGACTGACCAACTGAATGGTTGACTGTCTGAATAACCAACTAAAGACTGAATGACCGACTAACCAACTGACAGATTGACTGACTGACTGACTGAATGACTAACTGAATGCCTGACTGACGGATTGACTGACTGACTGACTGACTGAACAACAGACTGATTCATCGAGTTTTTTCATGTGGGGAAGGAGTAGCCAGGTCTGAAAGCCAAATGCAAAGCCCACCTTCCTTCATCCTATATGAATGTATCCTTGAGCACTAATAGGAAATGATGAACATTTGTTGATGATGGAGAAAATAAAGAAGTCTTTTACTCACTTGGCAATCCACCACGTTAAAGTCGTCTAATGTTGCTGGCCTTTCATTAGAAAGTTTGGAGTACGACTTCGGGAGAAGGTAAGGGATGTCATGATACATTTTAACCTTTTCAATCTGAAAAGAACGAAAAATATTTATATTTACAATGCCTGTGCTCATATTTACATCACCTGTGGATGCTTATTTAACAATTATGATCTTCAATCGTTTTATCATCACCTTGGTAGCATTCCATCTCAGAATGAAATGTCGAGCGATGTCTCTCGCGGGAAAACCAAACACGCGCATGCCCACATCATGCCAAGGCATCCGAGGAACATGGCCTCTGTCCACGGAATCTAAAAAACCGATACGACAAAAAGAGGCTTACGATTAAGTATCGAGTCAGTACATGGGGGAGTCGTTAGCTAAATTATGTTGCCATGATTCCTATTTCAAAAGAGAAAAAAGGCGACAAAACTTTCCCACAAGCCATACTCACTTTACGAAAGTTTATAGAAGAGCAGCACAAAAGCTGTTTGATCAACAACAACGACACGTAAGTGCAAAAATTCCACATTGTCCACAAACGAGCGCTCGAAGTTCGAGCCGGAATCTGGTCAAACCAGTACCAAGGTATTCACGAAGGTCGATCAAAATATCACTATGCTAATGAGAGCTCACAAAAAGACCAAGTCAACTGCCTGAAAGGCGCAGGAAAACGTGAATCACCAGTTGGCTATAGTTTTGGTGTTGAATCTGATTGGTTGTAAGGGTGGCGAAAATTGTCCGGACCAATCGCAGAACGCAGTAGAACAAAATCAAAGCAACTCCAGTTTTCTTTCGACACTCGATTGAAAATTGTTCAGGTATGGAAAAAATCCGTTGTGCACTTGGTTTTCCTTCGCTCAGGACTACTTATATTGAACTTATAAGTGGTACAATACAATTACACTTGTGATAATGCTGAGATTTGATGACGTTCGTTTTGATTTAACTTCCAATTGGTCGAAATATAAGTGACTTTACTATCATTGGTGAGATCAAACCTGACGTGTTTTTTGACCAATCAGAGAGGTCCACTGACAGTCACTGAAAACAGCTTTTAGGTACGACATACCTTCATATGGTCTATGGACGTCAAAGAAATCTCTGGTGATTGGATTTGAGTAATCCTTTCCCAGCCAAAGTTTGTTTCCTCCTGATGTTCCGGGTTCTATCTCTACTTTGACGTTGTCTGTGAAGTCGGAACATTTCGGGACGTCAAATCCCTCCAGCGTTCCTTCTACAAACAGAGCGCCAATTTTTCTGATCTGTTCCTCCTGTTAGCAAAAACAAGACCACACGTGAAACGCCTTCAGTCGTTTGCAAACGAATAAGTGAATGAAAACAAGGTGAGGTTACCGTTTTGTTCAGCGTTGGAGGCCGAACTGCAGATCCAAAGTCGGTCAGACGGTGCAAATGATTGTCCCAGCGACCAAAACAAAGGTCGAGACCTAAAAACACAACTGATTGTATTAACTCCGAGAAAAGAATTTAAAATGAATTTTTCCACAAACTTGACCATCTTTGCTTTTTCAGAACGCTTTGCTAATTTCAGCCGCTAGTGTAGAGTGCGCGTGTCAAATCTGGTCAATAATGAAACAGGTCTGACGAGAAACTCAGCACCAGGTCTCAGCAGCTCGGGGGAATGAACATCCGATGTCGAAGATCGGAATCCAAGAGATCATAAACTTAAAATCTCTTGTGGAATCTTAATTCCGTAGACAAAATCTTTTCCTTATTCCATGATCGTGAAAAATGAATTCACAACCATGTAATATGGTAATTTGACCAACACTAATTGGCAGACTAGTTTGAGAATTCAATTTCCAATTTGTATTTATCGCTAGGAAAGACTGTCAGCAACAATAGGCATTTTAAAAAGCATCTGACAGTCCTTAGTTATTTTTCGTATTACGTCAACGTAAGGTTCTAGTTACCTCCAATAAAGGCCACCTTCTGGTCAATGGCCACCAACTTTTCATGATGAGCCCAATATATTACACCTGCCCCAGGAAGGTGGTCTGGATGCCGCAACACCTAAATCGGAGACACGAAATAAGATTTCCCTGCTTTCTATCACCATGTTCCTCAAAAAAAGATTGCGACCTCTGATTTTTCTCCCCTCGCCAACATGGCAAGTTCTAATTCTTAATTAATGCACGTACACGTCAGAACGGCTATGCCTACCAAATGGCTACCAAAATAAAAACTGATCGCAAGGAAAAATAATGCTCTTGGTAAGAAAGTTCATTTTCTAAGTTAACCCGTAGTTAATAGAAGTTTTGTGAATTTATCAATTTAAAAACAAAATTGAAAATTTTTTATTATGGTGCTGACATAAGTGTCCTGCGTATCTTGGTATCGGGCGATTTCGGTCATTTTGAAGAACGGTCCATCCTATCATACAAAGGTAAACAAAGTTATGTGATGCGTTCGTTAGTCCTTTTTAGCCCAGGGCGTCCACAAATTTATTATGTTAACAAACGATATTCTTTCAAAGTCGATTTAAATTATTTTCACAGTGAAGTACCAACGAATCTACCTTGATGTTTGGGTGTAAACCCATCAGAGTAGTTTTAGTGTACGCACTGTTCAGCGTTAGAGCCAGCTCAACTTCTTTGTAGATTAGAACATAAACTTTTACACCACTCTCCTAAAAATCATAGATGCAAAAATTAAAAATAAATTTCAAAACTGATATATTTTGATTTGCAAATCTTAAAAATTAAACAGTCCAAAGAATTGTTACAGTTTGCCCACAAAGTTCATGTTACATTATACAAGATGAGGGGGCCATTTTCAAATAAAGAGTCACAGTTGCAGCCCAGAAAAAAAAACGTTTAGAGCAAGGAAACATTTTTTTATAAGGAAGGATCTCGTTTTGGAAGAAATTTGTGAATTAACTCTTCCCGGTAAGCTATATGGTGAGCACTAAGTAGGTATGGCGCAGGTCTAACGCAGTGGTGAGACCTCTGTGGCCTAGGTTCGATTCATGAGTCTGACGTCACAGTTTTTCCTTTTTAAGTTTTTTTGCTGGTTCTCGTAATTGCTCCAAAAATGTTTTCTCCAGCTTTTCCTCCCACAAGAAAAACCAACAACTAAACTTCAAACCTCGATCTGGAAAAAAGTGAACAGAGAGCCGACTAAACTCCAACTTTCATATAAAGGCATAGTGTTGAGTGACAACCCGCTTTCAATACTGTTCAGAAAAATTTGAAATTTCACAATTACCGCTTTTCTCTTCAGCGTCATATCCAGTCGCCATTCATGGCCGGCAGTGACTGGCCGACGGAGGTATATTTCTGGGCTGACCCTGAAAATGACAAAAGCCTCGTCTTATTTACACTTACTTACCATTTAATGAAACAATACTCAAGTTCAGTACA